ACCGAGAAAACTCTTGAAAGAGATAAAGTGGGATTGACGACTTTCCATTTGATGGGAAAGGCCTAGTTGTGGTTTTATCAAGTGGAGCGGGAAGACACTGGAGATGGATCGGGAAGGATTTAAGGAGCATTGCAATGTGAGGTTTGGGCCACCCATGAGTAACAATCCTCTAGGAGAACCGACTAATTTGAAGCAAACGGGAATAGTGGAGGATTACCAACGCCAATTCCAATCCTTGTTCGCAAGAACTTCATATTTGAAACCTTGCCAACAAGTGAATTTATTCATGGCATGGCTCATAGAAGGCCTCCGAATTGAGGTGGAAATGCAGCGATCGAGAAATTTGGGGATTGCCATGAATATGGCAAGGGCTTTGGAAAGGAAACAACGAGTGCTTACGACCAATCGGCACCAAAGTTTCAGTTGGATTGACCGCTTTGAAACCAGCCGCAACCGGTGTTGTCTCGGTTGAAAATTGAAAAAACAAGGGGGCAAATGGAGGAGGAAAGCCAATCGTTTTTGTTGCCGGTAGTTCGGGGAGTACCCCAAAATCGTTTGTCAAACGATTGTCTCGAGCGACGATGGCGGAGAGAAGGGCTAAGGGGCTATGTTTTAATTGTGATGAGTCGTACTCGACTCAACATAAGTGCGAAGAGGCTTTTACGGATCGAAGTACCAAATTTCGATAGTGAGCCGGAGGAGGAAGGCGTGAGGGATCCCGAAATTTCTTTACATGCCATTAGTGGAATCATGAGCTCCCAAACCATGCGGTTGCAAGCTATAGTCGCGGGATGGCCAATGTAGGTGTTAGTGGATTTAGGAAGTACACATAATTTCATCCGAGAGGGAGCCATACCAAAGCTAGGCATAACGGTGCGAGAACGATCCGGATTGCAAGTGGTCGTGGCTAATGGGGAGAAATTTCCGAGTGTGGGCATCTGTAAATCGATAACATTGCAAGTTAGTGCTAATTCTTTTGTTACTAACTCTGTATTCTATTACTTTGGATTGCTTTGATGTGATTTTAGGAATTAAATGGTCGAGAACACTGGGTCCTATTCTTTGAAACTTTGCATCCTTAACGATGAGCTTCGAGTTAGAGGGAAAAAAAGTGCAATGGAGAGGGCGGCTCCACAGTGCGGAACCGAGAGTGGCAATGTTACGGGGGCAACATTCGGTTTCGATAGCCTTGGAGAAATTGTTGGTCGAATTTCCAGATTTGTTTGAAAAACCTTCGGGGTTGCCTTCGAGTCGAAGTTGTGATCACAAGATTCCTCTTTTATCGGGTTCGGGGCCGGTGATAGTGCATCTATATCGTTACCCACATATCCGGAAAGATGAAATAGAGAAACAATGTGAAGAGATCTTTGCAACAAAAGATAATAAGACCAAGCAAGTCTCAATTCTTTTCACCGAGTCTTATTGGTGAAGAAGCATGATAGGTCATGGCGATTTTGTGTTGACTATCGGGAACTTAATGCTCGTATAGTTAAGGATAAATTTTCGATACCGGTGGTGGATGAGTTGCTAGATGAGCTTTATGGGGTGAGGTATTTTACCAAGCTTGATCTTCGTTCGGGATACCATCAAATAAGAATTGATCACCAAGATGTGGAGAAGACGACCTTTAGAACACATCATGGACACTTTGAATTTCTGCTAATGCCACTTTGGATTAACCAATGCTCCCTCTACTTTTCAAAGTTTGATAAATAAAGTATTTCGACCTCACTTGTGTAAGTTTATCCTAGTGTTTTTTGATGATATCTTAGTATATAGTAAAACTTGGATTGAGCACATTCGAGCACATGTGCTTGGTTTTTTATTTGCTTCGAGCTCACCATCTTTTTCTTAAGAGATCCAAGTGCACATTTAGAGAGGCTTAGGTGACATACTTGGGTCACGTTATTCATGAGGCAAGGGTGGAGGCGGACGTGAGCAAGATTAAGGTGATAGTAGATTGGCTTGTGCCAAATTCAGCCAAGTCTCTCGGGGGCTCCACGGGGTTAGCGAGATACTACGGGAAGTTCATAAGGGATTATGGACTAGTGGCGGCACCGGTTATAAGCTTGCTTAAAAAGAATGCTTATCATTGGAATGACCAAGCATATTCGACTTTCAATACTTTAAAGAAAGCCCTCTTTGAAGCTCTAGTTTTGAAGTTGCCTAATTTTGAGAAGGAATTTATGGTGGAGTGTGATGTGTCGGAAAGTGGCATCGGTGCGATTTTGCAACAACAAGTCCACCCAATTGCATTCTTCGGTAGAAAATTGACTTATCGTCATTACAAGCTAGCGGTTTATGAAAGGGAGTTAATCGGCCTTGCCAAAGCTGCGACCCATTAGAGACTCGTACCTATGGGGAAGACATTTTCTTATAAGGACGGATCACTACAGACCTCAAATTCTTGTTGGAACAAAGGTTAACTACTTCTCCCTAATAACATTGGATAAGTAAACTAATGGGTTTTGATTTCAAAGTGGAGTACAAGGCGGGGAGACTTAATGGGTTGTTGATGCTCTTTCTCGATGGGATGAAGTGGACAACCAACTCTTTACCATATCCTTTTCAAGTGCATACATCTTTGATGCCCTTCGACAAAAAATGGCAACATCGGAGAGCTTACGGAAGCTACGAGACATCATTGAAAAAGGAGAAGCTGAATCGAGTGGGCCGTGAAGGACGGCTTGATATTTTTTCGAGGAAAGGTGTATTTGTTGCGTACTTCTTCTCACAGTGTAAACCATTCTTTCGGGCATTCATGACATGGCCCATGAAGGGATCCGGAAGACGTTACAAAGGGTGCGTGGAGATTGCTATTGGAAAGGGATGAAATTGGCGGTGGTGGAGTTTGTGCGGGGTTGTTTGGTGTGCCGGCGAAACAAATGGGAAAACTTACATCCTATCGGGCTCCTATAACCTCTTTCGGTGTTACGGCAAGTATGGGCAGATGTTTTAATGGATTTTATTGAGGGTTTACCTAAGGTTCAAGGAAAATCGGTTTTGCTAGTGGTGGTTGATAGATTTTTCAAATATGCACATTTTATTCCAATTGCTCATCCTTTTACTGCTATATTTGTGGCTCATGTTTTCTTTACGGAGATATTTTGTTTGCATGGTTTGCACGAGATAATTGTTTCGATAGAGATAAAATCTTCACTAGTCTTTTTTGGAAGGAATTATTTCGTTTGTTAGGAACGAAATTAGCTTTCTCTTCAGCGTATCATCCTCGATCCGATGGTCGAACGGAGGTTGTCAACCGTACCATCGAGATGTATCTTCGTTGCTTTATCGGGGATAGACCCAAACGGTGGGTAGAGTGGATTCCTTGGGCGGAATATTGCTATAACACTTCTTTCCACTCTTCCTCGCAAGCTACGCCATTCCAAGTGGTCTATGGAAGGGATCCCCCATGCTTGCTTAATTACCTTGCTAAGTCTACTAGGGTGGAGGCAATGGACCAAGCTCTTCGGGAGAGGGATATTGTATTGCAATCTATTCTAGATCGTTTATTGCAAGCATAACGAGAGGATGAAGCTCACATACGATGCAAGCCACGATGAGGTCTCCTTTGAGGAAGGTGATTCGATTTGGTTGAAGCTTCATCCTTATAGGCGGCTCTCCATTGCAAAACGGAGTTCTAATAAGCTTTCACCAAAGTATTTCGATCCTTTCAAAGTGTTGAAGAAGGTGGGAACTATGGCCTACAAATTGGCACTACTCGCGAAGAGTCGCATCCATAATGTCTTTCATGTCTTTTTGTTGAAAAGGTTTAAAGGGGAGGTTCCCGATTCTAGTGCGGACACTGCCACCTCTTCATGATGGTCGCATGGTGCTTATTCCTCACTCTATCTTGCCAACAAGGCTTAATAGAGGCAAGCGAGGAAGTGTTGGTTCGTTGGGAGGACGAGTTCGGTAGAAAATGCTACGTGGGAGGACCCTGCGATCCTTCGAGAGGCCTATCCGAGTTGGAGCTTGAGGACAAGCTCCTTATCGAGGAGGGGAGTAATGTTAAGGATGCTTTTATGGGCTAGGTTTATTGAAGGCGCAAAAAAAGGGATGCTGAAAAGACAACAACAATCTAGGCTTGATTCTAGTATAATTTATTCAATATTTTCAGATTTTAAGAATATTATGTTTCCTATTTTAGTTGTGATTCTGTTTTAGACTTTATACCTAATTAGGATTCCTAATTAGGGTGAATGTTTTGTTATTTTAGAAGACCATTTAAAGGGGTATTGTTAATAAAAAGGGGGAAGTAGAATTTTACTAGAAAATTAGTATTGGAGGTCGAGGCTCGTCAAGGACGAGCTTTTTTTTTCGAGTTACCGGCATAGGTTCTTCGGGAGAAAGGGATAACACGACTAAGGAAAGGGAAGTAGGTTTTCCCGTGTCTCGACCCGTGACTAGATCCTACGCAAGGGCCCTTATCGGACACCAACATACAAATAAGCAAGTCACCCAATTATAAATCAAATCAACTTGTTCTATATCATTGTCTCATCATCAAATAACCCATGACGGACATCAAATCTCGGGTTCCATACAAAAGCTTTGGTGACACAAAGGTCGAGAATAAAGTTGCATAAGCTACTAATCTCATTATTCCCTCTCTTATAATGCATATAGCTTCGACTTGATTCGAACAAGTCGGTACTATTGCAAAAATTTTTATGATTTTTTAGATTTGATATACGGGATTTTGATGGCTGAAGGAGTACTGATCATAACAATATATGGAGAGCACGAGAGTAACTCGCTTTTCGAGAGCCATGTGGAAACGGCAAGGTATGACTTTGAAGAACATCGAAAAAATGAAAACATTGTTCATCAAAATACAATCTCCCCCTATTATAATTCTGTGTATTTCTCATATTTTGACCATGCTAAACTTCACATTTGATGCACACTGCTTGTCACCAAAATTCCTTTAGCTGAAGTAACAAGACACCAACATTCAAATAAGCAAGTCACCTCATGATAAATCAAATCAGTAAGTTCTATATCATTGTCTCATCATCAAATAACCCATGATGGACATCAAATCTCAGGTTCCATACAGAAGCTTTGGTGACACAAAGACTGAGAATAAAGTTACATAAGCTATTGATCTCATTATTCCCTCTCTTATAACTGGCGCTATCTAGTTCGTCGCCCCTGTTCATTCACGCTAAAGTGTTTTCTACTGAGGTTCTTTCCTCAAATATCCTCTCTCTTGCCTGACTTGCCTGCAGAATAAGACGACCCAGACGTTAAAACATCTCAATAGAAAAGATACCGACGAGGCTTCATGAGATTAATTAGTTTGGATAACAAACCTGTTTTTCCCAATTCGTACAACTTGTTACAAGAGACAGTAAAACTGTTTGCAAAATGGCACCGGCTTGTATGCCAAGCCAAAGGCCCCTTGCATTCAACTGCAACCACAGGCCCATTATAGCAGCAACTGGAACCCCACATAGATATAATGCAGAAAGATTGACGTAAGCCCCTATATGCTGCCATCCACATCCCCTTGCAACACCTGCAGGTATGAGATAACAAAGGATACTGGTTACAATTATGCCAATATTTATCTTCAGAGAAACATTTGCTTATCGAATTAGAAGGTGAAATTTAACCTGAAAGCACCCCTTGTAAGCCATCTACTATAACAGACAAACAAACCAGAGGAGCCATGTTGGAGACATAGTCCACCACTTCCTTCTCATTGCTGTAACTGTAGCCCAAGATTTGCCTTGTGGCAAAGAGGGTTCCGCTCACTACAAATAACTCTATGACTGCAAGAATCATCACAGAGTGGGCCGCTATACGTGCTGCTTGCGGGCGCCCAGCTCCTAATTCATTTGAGACTCTAGTGCTACGTACACCAAAAATAATTATACTAATAAGAAGAAGAAGAATAAGGATTTATGAAAAATCAATTGCATCATTCCTCATTAATGAAAAAAAGAAAGAAAGAAAGCCTTCGTTCCATTTGAATTGAAGTGAGCTAGTGTGCAGATTTACAGAAGTAATATACGTATGTGTATTGCAGCACAAACCTGACTGCAGCGCTTAGTCCATATGGAATTGCATAGAGTGTTGAAATCGTTGTTAAACTGCTTACAAAATGGTAAAGCAAAATTATTTGGTGGTATTCTTGCCCACACGTTTCTTTGAATGGAATGTTCAAAGCACTAGCAGAAAGCATACCATACAGATAGGACTGAAGTCTCAAGTTGTGGATTTGATAAGAGCCCTGATAGCAGGATGACAATCTCATATGACCACCATTGCAGGCTACAATTATTAACAAGAAAAAATTCGTGAAAGGTTACATGCCTTCTGATATATATAGAATGAACAGAACTCTTTATGCTAATAAGAGGGAGAAGAGAGGACGAATTATTTACCAGATCATTATTGAAGATGGGATAGCGAAGCGGAAGAACTCTCCGATTCCTTGGAACAGTTCCATAGAAATTGGGACACGGGTTTTGGCACAGGCAGAAGAATTTTTGAAGTATAATAAAAGAAAAATTACATTCAACCAATTTGAAATACTGACAGCTAATGCTCCTCCAACGTTTCTTAGTCCAGACTTGAATACTAAAAACCAGCATAGAGGCATATGTAAAAGGAGAGTGACACAGGAGCTTACAAGCATTGGAATGGTTAAACTTTGCACTTGCAGGTATCTAGAAAGTGGCTGAAAAATTGCGTAAGCAAAAAGGGTAGGAATGAGCCATAATGTAAACTTGCCGGCTTCGTGAGCAATTGTGGGATCTTGACCAATTAATATGAGAAGTCTTTCCATGTTGATCCAAACCAGAGATACAATGAGAGCAACTAAAATTAGAGAGAACATAGCACCATAAACTTGGTTTCCGACTTTTCGATATTGTTGAGCTCCATAAGCTTGACCACATAAAGTTTCCAGTGCACTTGCCATTCCATTCTGTTTGGCATATAATCCAACAACATCAATTTATGTGCATCATTAATCTGTAATGTTTTTGTTTTTCGATTACTTCTCTTGATGCTATGATAAAAGCTTACCTAGTGTAGCTAATGCATTAGCAGCGCAGCAAGTGTGAATTTCATTTATCAAGCCTTACCTAGTGTAGCTCTTGATTTAAGAACTAAATGAGAGAAATATAGTCTTGGTGATTAAAAGAAGATTGATTAAATTTTCATGAATATTTTCTTGGAATTGATAAACTGCTTCGTGTTTGAAATTATACAACAACATGCTAAAGAAACAAGAAAATTTTTTTTTACTGTTTCTGCAGAAAAGAAACAATAGGCTGCATAGGAATACTGTTTATGCAGAAGATATGATTTTGGAAGGCATTATTCAGGGAGTGCAAAACAGTTGTAAAGGACTAAGCTCTTGCAAGAGGCTGCTGAATGCAAGTTCAAAATTGTGTGATGTTTGTCAAATCCGGAATTTTCATGATAGTTATAAGTTGTTCCTCTTGTTTGATTATTGGCTTCTTTCTAACGGAACTCCGTTTGCTGTAAGCAGGATCAAATCCTGCTAAGTTGTTCCTTTTGATCCATGAAATTTATTTATTCGTCAAGAAAAGAAAAAAAAGAGAGAGAGAGACTGAAATGGAAAGACAGAAGAGACTTACTAGAAGACTGATGCCGGTAACATTACAGAGAGAGATGGCTATGGCAGCACTAGAAAGAGCTAGCTCACCAAGATGACCCACCATCATATTTGAAATAACCAGCAACAAGTAGAGGGCTATAGTGGTAACCACCATGGGTCCTGCAATGTAAGCTAGCCTTTTCGCTTCTTGAGTAAACTCCCACCATGTTCGAGCTATACCTTCTCTTCCCTCTTTTGATCTCTTTTCTGGTAGTAGTAAACTCTCTTCGATGCTCTCCTTTGTCTCTTCTTCCATGGATGATGGATTATTAGTTGCCCCTCACACTAGTCGTCGAACTAATTTCATTGAATAGCAAGATCGGATGCAAATCAAGCATAAATTACAAATTACAGATGAAGAATAACGTAGCTAGCATGCAATCTATAAACACCAAAAATAATCTCAACTAACCAAAGATATTAATTCAGATCGATGAAGGTTCATTGTTTCTTGGTTTTTAGTTTACCAACAACTTGTTTAATTGAGTGGGAATAGGAATTGAGAGGATGGAAACAATGCCGTCTCAAGAAAATTAAAAACTTTTTAACTCTTATTATGTCTTTTAGTACGCTAAAGTTCAAAGACTCGAATCATGACGAGTCCAACAGAAATAGCTAAGGCGAGTCCATCCAGAAACAAAAGTGCCTCCAATTTTAAAATTCATTAAAGTGTACTTAGTGGACTAAAAAGAATCATTAGCATGTTGTCTCAGTTTTTTTTTTTTTTTTTTTAATCACACAAGTTATTGTACAAAATAGGAGTAAAATTATAAATTAGTCCCTCTTGTTTTGAAAATTGAATTAATTAGTCATTATGGTTTCAAAAACTAATTAATTAATCATTTTAATTAGTATTGACCACGTATGTTTTTTCATCAATTTTTTATATTTTTATTTATTTATTAAAATAAAAAATTAAAACCAATTGAAAGATAACAAAAATGACTAAACGATTAATTGTTTTAAACCAAAAAGACTAATTGATTCTTTTCTCTAAATAAGAGGGACTAATTTATAATTTACGCTACACAATGGACGTTAGTATTCAAGCTAGTATAGTATATGTAATAATAACTCATTCAAAGCATAATATACATTTGAACATGAAAGTAAATGGTTTTCATTGATCTGATAGGAATATGCACCAAGACATTGCAGAAGAGTTCTGTAATGCTTTTAGTCTGAATGATAAGTGAGTGTTTTGTTCACGTGATTAGTTTTGATATGTAAAATTTATTCGAAAATACTTTTACAATTAAAATTAAAAAAAAAAGGTTCAGGTTGGAATCCGAAACAATGTACACTGTTCTACTGACACTCTTCAGTGGAGCCCTTATGAAGTGGAATCATCGTTGGTGGTGATAGGAAAAAGTAGAAATCATTCCCTCTAAATTTTGTTGGAAAATTCCCAAGCCACGTGGTTCTCTCAATTGCCAGTGATTAAGATTTTGAAATTATGACTTAAAAAAACCGAACACAAGAATAACACCTCCGCGAGTTGCACCTGTGTGTTTCTACAAAGACAGAAACAGGGAAATCTACGACTGGACTACTCTATGGTCGAAATTAAATGGAGATCTGTAGACAGGATAAGAGATTACCCTATAACTCACCCATGGAATCCATCAAGAAAATGACCTCAGTTTTCATCCTTGTCTACGGTTCCAAAAAGATACTTTCCAGCAATCACGCTCGCATTGTCTCCAAGAAGGATTGGCAATGGTCGTCATGGGGGTTACGCACATGAAGCGCCTACTCTAGTGATCCACAGAGTTACTATTTGAATAAAGGGATTAAAAGCTCAAGAAAAGAAAAACTACCCTTGAAAACGATAAGATACAGTTAATCTAAAAAAATTCTGGAACGAAAAAACTTCTGAACATACACACCGAAGCAAAATAGTGCACACTAAGATTAAGAGATGAACCATTATTGACTACAGAAGGGTTGTCTTCCTAATAAATATGACGAATGCACATCTTCCCACTCGCGGTGAATAACGAGTCAATGACTCACTGGAATCCTTAATAGCAGTAACCAAGGTTGCCAAATTCATCTCCTAACGAAAGGCTAAGGATTCTGATAGAATAATAAATCGGTAGCACATTGTTTGATCTTAAGCTAGTCTTGGTCTCCAATGTTTAGGAAAATTTATGAACTCCAATTCACCATCATCGTCAGTATTATATTTGTCTGGACTAGAGAGGATTTTACAGAAATTTGTTAAAACTTCTTTAAAGAAAATTCCAACTTTTGAGGGAAATAATTGTTGTCAATGGACACTCATAAAATATTAATTATTTGTCTCTTTTATTAAATGAGGCTAATGATGTAGGAAATAAAATAAAAAGACATAAAATAACCTCAAAAAGTTTAGACTTCCAACAAAAAGTCTAGATTTCTAACAAAAAGTTTAAGATTCAAATCTAACTTCTCACTTTTTTTTTTGGTTGTCACCACAAGATTTACATCTGCTTCTCTCATTTCAAAAATGTGAAAAGATTGGAACTCCTGGATTTAAAACTAATCCCTACCTATCAAAAATATTGAAAAATGATCAGTTTTTGGATTTTTTATTTTTTTTAAAAAAACAAAGATATAAAATGAAACACGGTCTCAAGTTACTCAGCAAACTGAGCTTATTTTCCCAAATTCAAATCCCGATAGGAAAATCACTGTGGGATAAAATTGCAAATTAAAGTATATAATTGGGCCTGAACTGATTAAGTGGAAAATTGTCAAGTGAGGTCAATTATGATTTTTATAATACGGGTTTCACAGATTCTATCAAGGATGAAATGGGCCAATTAGAATTCATCCCAATAAACCACGTAAATGTTGGAGTATCTGTCCCAATTGAGTTCTCGAAACCATAATTAGCACCTAAAACCATGGTTTTGAAAAGAAAAAAAAACGTCAAATTTGATGTTATTTCAATATATTAAAAACCAGAGTTTCAAATCAATGGAGCTTACAAAACCATGACTTCACGAAAGTTAACAAACACTCCATCTTTTCATCTTCTTCTTCTTTTTTTTTTTTTTTTTTAACATTACCATTATTTATAACTCAAAACCTGCCTGTTGCAAATTCATTAATAACGCGAATGCATTTGCATATATAGTCAATGTCGCATTGTGGGTGATATGGGAAGCCTAAGATTTATTGATTATGATGCTGCAGCATTAGAACAGATTGATAAGCCCTCTCATAATAGGCGAAGCAACTCATGGACAAACAATACCAGAAAATAAACCAGTCGCAGGGGAAAGTCACTCTCTTCTTAGAAACGAAATAAAACCCTTGTTTTTATCTTTGATAATTACTAGTATTACTTATGCAATTATGTATGTGCATCCAAGATCATAAAACCTGGTGGTGCTTACTTTTTTAAGAATATTAGTCCATGCATTTCTCTTATATATTATCTTAATATATTCATGTGATTGTGGGAATCATGATTTAAACTTAAAAGATATGTATATATTGGATTCTGGATACACCGGCTCCGGCAGCTTCTATATTTTGAGTGAGGTCTAAGCCAAAGAAACGATTAGTGGTGTTACGGGTCCTGAAAAACCACCTCAGTATCTTCTCTTACAGGGTGATTTCATGGTTATGTACTTAAGTTTATGGTGACTTAAAATCCATTCAGGGTAACCTTGCAAAGGTGGAATCCTTGTAGTAATTGTCTAATTGATAGCGCTTGTGAATTATTGCTGGTTGTCATCTTTTTTTTTTTTTTTTCTCTTTCTGTTGAGAAAAATAATCTGAATTCTGGTAATGCAAACCATCTACTGACTGATATGAACGCTCTGGCTGCTTCTGCTGCAATAGAGATGCTTAGTTGCTCCACTGCTTATGTTGCTACTGCTGCAGAATATAATGTTCTGAGATTTGATAAACAAAATTGAACTGCAGAAGCCAGAATTAAACGTAAAATTGGTAGTGGCGTATTTCTGGTTTTGGAGGAATAAGTCTCTTCCTGTATCAATTTTGGGTATTCAACTCTGTAATTCTGGTATACGGAAACTTTGGTTTTTGGGGGGGGGGGGGGGGGGGGGTTGGTTTTTTGGTTGGTGGGGGGTTGTTATGATACTACCGCACCCGTGAGATTTAACATTATATAGAATACTGGAAAAACAATTTTCCATCAAAACACCATCATTCTCTCTCTATTTTCTCGGGCGCTAATGGTTTTTCACGTTTTGATTATAATTGATTGACACTCGATTAATGGTGCTGACTGCTACGCAGCTGTATCATGACCCCACAATTCATTAGCTGAAGTGCCATGATGCCAACATATTGACAAGCATATCGCCTTACAGTAATCGAATCGGGGTACCCTTTTGTCATTGATTTCATTAACTCTTGATGAACACCAAATGTCATGTTCCATTACAGAAACTTGGGTGCCAGACTAAAGGAGAGTGAAGTGACTAATCTCGTTATTCTCTCTCAAAACTGCAACGTGCCAAAGTAACTTGTTTGACAACCCTGCTCGATCACGTTAATATGTTTTCAGCAGAAGATCTTCGCTCGAATATCCTTTCCCTTGCCTCTTTTGCCTGCAATAACAAGACGAGGATATAAAACATCTCTATTGAAAATGCACAATATAACCAACTTCTTGGCGAAGTCATTAGAAAGAAATTTGACTAAGCAAATGGGCAAATGGAATTGGTTGACAATTTGTTTCGTTCGGACCTGCATTTTGTGGCAGAAAAAGCTAGCTATTAGGAAGCAACTACTATAATCTTAAATCATGTAAGAATCAGATGATTATTTGTTAGAAAGAAAAATCCTGTTTTGTACTCCTTTCTTCATCTTCTTTGCAAGCTTGTGGTATATTAAAATTTGAGGCTGGACTAACTAATGATGATACAAGGAATTAAGTCTGGATATCAAACCTGCTTTTCCCAATTCGTACAACTTGTTATGATGGAGAGAAGAACTGTTTGCAAAATGGCACCGGCTTGTATGCCAATCCAAAGGCCCCTTGCTTTCAACTGCAGCCAAAGGCCCAGTATGGCAGCAACTGGAACCCCACACAAATAAAATGCTGCAAGATTGACATAAGCCCCTATATGCTGCCACCCACATCCTCTTGCAACACCTGATATGACATAACAAAGAACACTAGGTCTAATTGTGCAAAAAATTATCTTCAGTAAAAATTTGCTTGTTGATTGAGAAAAATGAAGTTTAACCTGAAAGGACCACTTGTAATCCATCTAATATAACAGACAAACAAACCAGAGGGGCCATGTTGGAAACATAGTCAACGACTTCCTTCTCGTTGCTAAAACTGTAACCGAAAATGTCTCGGGTGCCAAAGAGGGTTCCGCTTACTATAATTACTTCAATAATTGCTAGAATCATAACAGTGTAGACAGCTATACGAGCAGCTTGTGAACGCCCAGCTCCTAATTCATTTGAGACTCTAGTGCTACAAAAGATATCCAAAAATAGAGCCAAGAAAAATCAATTGTATCATTGAATGTGCAGAGATGAAAGTATGCACGTGGGTGCCATCCAACTTGGTTAGTAAAATCATTTGCCATCATGTTGAGAAACGAGGAAACGAATCCCACTACATTTGAGGAAAGGGAATCGAAGGAGGGGGAGGGTTAGCCACTTGTTCGGTTCAATTGAAACCGTCAAAAGAAAAAATAGCAGGGAGAGACCAAAGTAAGCATTCACGTTTACAGAGTTTATGCATGTATACTGGAGCAGACCTTACTGCAGCACCCATTCCATACGGTATTGAGTAAAGTGTTGAGGTCGTCGTGAGACTGTTTACAAAGTTGGACAGTGAATTATATCAGGTAATATTGTCATTTAGACATTTCATTACGGTGAAATTTCCTAAATACTAGCTGAGTCAGGGAGCATACCACACAGATAGGACTGAAGTCTCAAGTTGCGGATTTGATAAGAGCCCTGATAGCAAGACTACAATCTCATATGACCACCATTGCAGGCTACAATTATCAACAAGACAAAACTCATAGAAGGTTACATGCCTTCCGATTGAGTGTACAAAACTCTGTATGCTATCACAGGGAAAAGGGCAAAGAAAAGAGATAATTTACCAAATCATTACGGCAGATGGGATAGCAAAACGGAAGAACTCTCCAATTCCATGGAACAGCTCCATAGAAACTGGGACACGGGTTTTCGCACAGGCAGAAGAATATTTCATGTACAATAAAAGAAAAATTACATTTAACCAATTTGAAATACTGATAGCTAATGCTCCTCCAACAAGTTTTAGTCCGGACTTGAATACCAAGAACCAGCATATGGGTATATGTAAAAGAACAGTGACAACAGAGCTCACAAGCATTGGAATGGTTAAACTTTGAATTTGAAGGTACCGCGAAAGAGGCTGAAATATTGCATAAGCAAAAAGGGTAGGAACAGTCCATAATGTAAATTTTCCAGCTTCATGTGCAATTATGGGATCTTGGCCAATTAATATGAGCACCTTTTCCATGTTGATCCAAACAAGAGACACAAGCGAAGCAACTAAAATTAGGGAGAACATAGCACCATAAGTTTGATGACCCACTTTTCGAAATTGTTGAGCTCCATAAGCTTGCCCACATAAAGTTTCCAGTGCACTTGCCATTCCATTCTGTTAAAAAATTGCATAATTAATCAATATCAAGTTCTAATCACTCCAATTCTTTCCAATTATGCGCATTGTAAATTTTTAATTTTTCTTCAATCCCTTTATTTTTGCTTCTCTTGATTGTACATGAAACATTCTAGGGAAAAAAAACACTTGAGAAATTTTAAAAAAAAAAAAAAAACCTTAACAATCAAGCACGAATTACAAGGGGGTACAACAAATTATACGAAATAAAATTGCTAAAAAACAAATGGGAGTTGCAGACGGCCAGGCAAGTCAGCGATGCGGCTAGCTAGCATTTTTAGAAAGAGAAAAAAAATGGAAAGGAATGTAGAGAAAAAGGGGAACAGGAAAAAGGACTTACAAGAAGACTCATGCCAGTAACATTACAGAAGGAGACAGAAATGGCAGCGCTTGACAGAGCTAGCTCACCCAAATGACCCACCATCATATTTGATATAACCAGCAACAAGTAGAGGGAAGTAGTGGTAACCACCATAGGTCCTGCTATATAAGCAAGCTTTTTCGCTTCTTGAGTGAACACCTCCCATGTTAAGGCTAATCTTTCCCTTCCCTCTAATTCTGATCTCTTTTCCGGTAGCAATAAACTCTCTTCCATGCTCTTCTCTGTGTCTTTCACGGGCTCCTCGATCTCCACTGTTTCTGCAGAGAATTTGAGAGATATGAATACCAAGCCAAAGAAATAAATGCAGATTGGTCAAATTATTAGAGCATTTATTATTTTCTATGTAAATCAGCACATGTTTTTTGGCCATGTTTGGAGTTAAATAACTGTGTTTGGTTGGCTATGCGATGAAAACAAATTCCCCCTTCAATATTGAGCGTAAGTGTCACGATGATGTTTGTTGAAGAGATAATTATATTATAAGAATACTAACTTTTATTTTATTTTATTTTTTTCAATATAATATATAAATTTTAATTTTTTTATTTCAGTATATTAATTTTTTAAAAATTATTAATCAAATATTTTTATCATTTTTTTATGACGTGTCTCGTATCTCAAAATACCAGATTATAATTTTATCTTTTTTATCAGAAAATGATTTACTAACAAGAAAATATTAGCAAAGATGGTTTAGCATTATTTTTTTGGCCTTTGTTTTTCCATTTTTTTGAAAATAAAAATAGAAAACCTGTTTGTCTTTAGGATTTTTTTAATTTAGGAAAAACAAAATTGATAATCGCTATCCAAAGTTTTTACTTTTACTTTGTATAGTTTCAAAAAAATTGGTAATCGGTTATTGGTTTTTACGTTTCCAAAAACAAAAAACGGTAATCAAATAAATATAATAATGGAATGAATCACATTGTTATGATTTATTACAATAATTATTCATAATAATGGAATTCTGTTGGAAATATGAGGTGAATATAGACCGTTAAAAAAAAACTGCACTTGCTACTATACATGTTATTATCCATTAAGATTCAACTGCACTGGATTGTGACTCATGTCTAAAGTACAACGCTCAGCTCTACTGAATCGTTACTCAAGTTTATTGGGTATTTTCAACATGCGAAATTTTTGTTATTTTCAAGTTATTTTGGGACATATATTATACTTTGATACTTAATATTTTTAAAAGTTTTTATTTTGATGTAAAGTTGAGCAATGAATATATTTTCAAAAGTGATCATTCAATTTGTTTCAAACTTCATGGTAAAAATTATAGCATGTATAACCAATTTTTTTCTTTTTATGAATTAGAGTTTATTTTAGTATTTCGATACAAAACATAAAAATACATTTCAAGCCAAGCCATGACTTCTTTTATAACACTTGAATCTCTAAAATATATAAATAGGTAGAAACAGAGGCAGGTCCAGGTAGAACCCTACAAGGGCCCTCGCCCCCCTACCCCATCCAACATTTTTTTCCCCTCATGAAATATCCCATGCCATGCTACACTCTTTCATCATATTTTTTTATTTTGTCACAATTTTAGTTTTAATATGACATCATCTCAATTCATGTTTTAATTGATTTTTTTTTTTTTTAGAATGCTTCAATTGGAATTTTAATTAACTTACGGATAAATGAGTGTATTTTTACACAAAATAATTTATTTGAAGGCTTAAATAAATATAAAAATACACTTATTTTTATATAAAATATTCTCTATGCACAGAAAAATTCACCTAGGTTCATAGAATATTCTTACACCTCCTTAATAATTTTTCTATACCCATTGAATAATTTTCAAACATATATAAAATACTCAAAATAATTAATATGCACAAAAACACTATTAATGCATCGAAAATATTAACTAAACATCGGAAAATTCACTCGAGTAGCACGTAATAATCTAACACCCCTCAAGCAAATATTCTATGCAAATAGAACATTTTTCATGCACATTTAAAATACTCAAAATATTTATTTTGCATAAAAAGTTACTATTCATACATCAAAAAACATATAAAATATTCACTTAGCACAAAAAAATTATCCTAGAGAGATGCACATATCATTTAGGGTTGATGTCATTTGTAAATTGATATAGAAATTTTATCATCAAAACTTTGTCAATCATGAAATGCTGTAATTAAAGATGCAATTTGAGTGTTTTGATCATCTATAAAATCTTTTTTATTTCAAAACATTATCAGCTATATTTGATTTTGTGTCAATGGTTGATGAAGATAAGAAAATTTGAAAGTTATCCACTTGAGTATAGAGTGATAACACTTATTCTAATTGTTCAATTTTTATGACTACCATGAAACGGTCATTTTCAACTATGAACATTGTTAAGACTAAATTTCATAACAAAATAAAAAATGATTTTCTTTTTTATTTTTTGTTAGTATATATTGAAAAAGAAATTGTTGAAAATTTTGGTATAAGTTTGCTTATAAATGATTTTCGTCATCCGAAAAAACGAAGATTTCAATTTGTAAAATTGAGTCATTGGTTATAAAATGATCATTCAAATTATGATCATAACAAAATAAAAAATAAAAAATAAAAAAAATTCAACATATCAAGCTTACATCAATATGTATTTTTCAAGCTATTGCCATCATGTTCCATGCATCTTCAACATTTTTTAAAGCTTGCAATGGCATACATCATGATTCATCTTCAACATTTTTTACCATCGTGATTTTGTTTCAGTAATTTCAAATTTTGGAGCTTTTTCAGTCTTAACTCCTGTGTCATTCCAATTTCTATATATAATTTCCATTAGCCATTCCCCTTAGTTCTCTTGTGTTTTAGTAAATTGCTCTTGTGGTTATAGCAAATTTTATGGGAGCTGATTCAGCCTTAAGTCTGCGTTTTAGCTTGCGTTCCAATTTTCATTAGCCCTTGATTAGTTTGGTTTGTTTTTTTCATAATCGCTAGACTAGGTGCGTTTTCTCCTTGTGATCACTCATAATTCTCAAAGACTTCGGAAAAAAATAAGAACAAAATCTAGTTTTGATATTTCAGATCTTTCATTAATAGAAGAATCAAGTCTCCTTGCTTATAAATGAATTTTTTCAAAAGCTTGATAAGCTTGATAATAATTTAAAAAACAAATGATCATTCCAATGGATCTTCAAATCCGATCTGAATTTATAAAATTTGATTTGATCTATTTTATTAAATAAATCATATTCAAATCTATCATAATTTGATACGAATCCAACCTATTAATAGCTATGCATTCAAATGAATCTTTCTACGATCTATTCGCGTCTTAGCAATTCTTTTTTATTAGTATCCTTACTGAGTCATTGGTTACCTACAGTGGAAAACAATCCTGATCTCTTTTTCTTATAATCTATTTCAATTTGTATGACTGAGCTGAAATTTTAATTTGTGGTCATTTAGATAACAATAAACGACTTCACTAACTAAACTAGCTAAGTAGCTATAGCAGCTATACTTTTTGGAACAACTTCATTTACTTTTGCTCCTCAAGAATGTCCAAGTAATAACTAATAAAATCTTACAAAGACGTTGAAACACAATACATATTGGAGTGCAAGTGTTTTGAGCGAGAATGGGATTTTAAGGTTACAAGGAAAAAGCCTGAAAAGCAACTGTAAGAAGAATGCTTTCCCCTGACATCATAAGAAACATTCTGGCTTAGGTTTTCTCACTCATCCTCAAATACATGTTACATGGTCTACATTATACACAAAAAAGCAGTGAAGTAAAAACTGATAACTGCTAACCTTATCAGCTTAAGCAGAATTTCCCTTTTATATTTCTCTCGTAGCAAATTTTATTTTATTTTATTTTTTGCCGTAGCAAAATTAGATCATTAGTCATATCTCGTGAATCACATTAATCCATTATCACGACCTTCAAAAATCCTGTCCCTTGCCATTCTCGCCTGCAACACAAAACCACCAAGAACAAAAGTACTACCAAGAAAGCATAAAAATCAAAAGCGAAAAACAGAGGGAGATGCAACCTCATAAGAAAGAAAAAACATAAATAAAACACATATATAGAAGAATCAAAATTTATGCACCGCATTCAAACAATGCCATTTCACACTTTCCATTT